CTACTTCTGCATTCCACTGCCAGCAGTTCGATCCTGACCGGCTCAAGGTTGACTCAGCCTTCCACCCTTCTGAGATCAGTAAAATGAGGACCCTCTCTCAGTAAAATGAGGACCCAGCTTGCTGGGGGCAATATGCTGACTCTGTAAACCACTTAGAGAAGGCTGTAAAGCTCTGTGAAGCGGTATATAAGTCTAAGTGCTATTGCTAACGCTAGTCCGTACTATGTTTTTCAAAGAACTCAGCTCTTATTTCCTTTGTGATCACAATTACAATCTTTATTCTTTCTTGCAGGTATCAATTCTAAATCAGCTCGTGTCCTGATCTTGCTAGTGATCCCAGGACACCTGGTGTTCCTCTATGCTATACATCTCTTTGAGGGAGGCCACACAGTAATCACATTCACTTTTGTGGCGTTTTATCTGACAGCTGCTGTCCTGCAGGTAACCAGAAACTGACCTTTAGAATTTGAGATTTGGCTTTGGATATAGCCATAACGTATTGTTATTTTCCATCCATTAACATCATCCCAAAATCACTCTTTTCCATGTGGAACTCTTTGCCTACATTTCATCCCCCAGAGGGTCTCTTTTACATCCATGCCAGCCCAAAGGAAAACAGTGGCTAAATTTTGCAGTGACTTTTCTCTTAAAATGAGAAACCTGATTGCTAAATTTTTCCCACTCTCTTGTTATTGTATCATGGGTGTTCTTTTCAGTCCTGATGACCGCTATTCTCTCCCAGTACCCAATCGCCTGTTCTCCTGCTTGACAGTCAGATCTGTAAACTGTATGATGATTGCTGTTCCTTTGACTTCAGGGCAATGCTATATAATGCAGAAAGCCATGATTCCAGTCTTGGTCTGATGGCTGCTATGGTTACTGGTGCAGCAAGAATTTGGGAGATAGTGTGGGTGGATGCAAAAGAGTAGTAGCCCAAGATGTGGGGATTCTGGTCAAGACAGCATCTGGACTGACATATCTGTCAGCCTTACCAAATAGATTAGACAGGAAACATAACCAGATCAGCTAATTCTGCTTTATTGTAAAGTTACATTAACATGATCTTGCAAGTCTGAAGGAGAATTCTCACATTTCTTTTAGACACCAAGAAACTAGAGAGCGTCCCTTGTGAGCCTCTTGTGCCCATTATCCAGCTGCAGACTATGCTATCTCTTACCTGACCATTCCTTAAGGAGCATCTCTTCGCCCTGTTTCCCAAAAGCTTTCCACATACTATTACAGCAGAATTCCCCAACCTTTCCGGCTTTGTGGATTGGGCGGGGTGGGGAGAGGCGATGGTTCCGTGTGAGCCACGCGCAAATGTGGGTGCAGCTCCATTTGTGCAAGCAGCGGGCACGCACACTCATCTGCCACTTCTGCAGCCCGTTGCCGAGGGGCTCAAGGCCCGGTAATGGTCACGACCTGGGGATTGGGGACCCTGGCATTACAGTATCCCGAATGACCAAATTACACAGATACATACTTTATGCTTTGTAAATAGTGGAAAGAAATGAGAAGGGGAAAATTTTGTCTCAGCTGTAGAATGTGTGCACTTTCAGCTATCACAGCTGATGGAATAGATGGCAGTACTACGATATCATGACACGTTGCATGCTGGTAATTACTGCACTTGTTTTGTTTCTCACTTGCAGGTGGGAATTCTGCTCTACGTGGCTGACATCATTGTGCGACTAATGTGGAGAAAGGGTCTGGATCCTGACAATTATTCCATTCCCTACCTCACTGCCCTAGGAGATCTCCTGGGCACTGGCTTCCTGGCCGTTTGCTTCTACTTGCTTTGGCTGCTCAGCGGTTTGGAGCCAAAACTAGGGAACTAAAATGTTTCAGCCATAGTGTCAAACTGCCTGCGAATCTCTCACAATCTTCAACAGGATACTGAAAAGAGGGCATCCGGGTTCCTAAACTGGAATGGATTGTCCTCCCTTTTCATCTCAACACTGCATAGCTGAAAGTTGGAAAAGAGCTACAAATGACGTCACATAATCATGTATCACAGCTTTTGAAGTGTCAGCAAGGAAAGGATTGTGAAGCACTCTGATCAGTTTTTCAACCAGTCAAGGAATCTTACTACAATGGCTTGGTTTGAACAGTCTGTGGATGCTACCAGAAAGCTAACCCCTCTTTTCAGTAGGGTTGAGCTTGTGTCCTTGATGAGATGCCATGTTGTCTCCGCTACCCTTCAAAGAAGGCATTTTGCTTTCTGTCTGCTATGTGTTCCCACAAAGAAAGAGGGAAAATTATGTCCAGGACTGTTTTCACTGAATCCCTAAACATAAAAAGAGAAACAAAGTGCAAACTCTGCTTCATGACACCTCATGCATTGTGGCAACCTGCTCAGCGAAAATTACTTTGCATTAAAATTTTTAATCTGTCCACTAATGTTCAACTTGGGGGAATGGGATATGTGTCTCTGTGTTTATGTGTGTGTGTTTTCTTGCACTTTGACAGGGGACATAATTGGGGGGGGGGACCTAAATATTGAAACTTCAACACCTGATTGTATATAGGAATGAAAATAAAATATGTATTTTGGACAGAAAAAATGTAGAAGAAAGCCCCAGTCAGTGATGGAAGGGTAATCAGCATCTGATCTTTTCCATCTTATTATGCTACTTTCCTGGCCAAAGTTTTTTGCTGAGTTTACCCGCTACTGTAGGGAAATCTGAAAATCAGAACCAGCTTAAATTTAAAAGCCAAATTCTGAAGGCTCCTGTAGAGGTAGAGGAGGAAGTTTGATGGATAAATTTTACTCTCTGTAGTAGCTTTGTGCTGGGAAGAACAGACCTTCGTGAGTTCTGGGTCAGGGACAAACCTTTTAGTGACCTCTTAACTGTTCCAAAGGCAGGGAAATGAACTCATTTATTTCTGGCAGAGAGACCCGTGATAACTGAGTTTTTAACTCAAAGGAATTTTTATAATAGAAAAATGGGGATTGAATTTCCATACGCCTCCAGTACAAGTGTCAGGCTTAATCAAATTTCCATCATATTTTTTTTTTTGCACTCCTTTCTTTTTTGTTTTCTTTTACATGTTCAAGTCAGATTATTGTTTTTATGGGGTCACAGAAATGTACACATACAAAATAAAATATAAATAATAGCCAGTACTTGGATGGCTTCATTATGTGGTCCAGGACTAGTTATTAAGCTAATAATTTCTAAGATCCAGCAAGTAAGACGTATTAGCTTTATCAGTTATAAGAATTATAAGAATCAGTCTGGTATAGACAATTGCATTGAACACAGTTGAAAGAGCAATTATTTATTTTTTTTTAAAAAAAACTCATACACCCTTGTTCAACTCAAGATTACATCCATACTATTCCTGCCTCCCACTTTTGTCACAACTACCTTGAGAAATAGATGGGGGGGGGATTGTTTTCTTTGACTGAAGAAAAACCTGAACCTCAGCCTGCCTACCACTACATCACCTTGACCCACAAGGGAAAGTAGGGATGGTAGAACAAGAAAACATGCAAGTGGAACTCTAAAATATACATTAGAAAGCCTCATATTGCTTCCTTATTTTATGACTCTAATGGCTCTCTCCAAAACATGAGGTACCTTCAATTTGCAGTCACTGATTGAAATATTTTTAAAATGTTATTATAGGATCTGAACAGAGGCGAGGTGGCTAAGTGGCTTAATGACACTGGAGAAGGTCTGTACTCCCAACTGTTTGAGCCCTAGCATTGCGTGACGGAGTGAGCTCCCATCATTTGCCTCAGCTTCTACCAACCTAGCAGTTTGAAAGCATGTTACATGTGAATAGATAAATAGGTACCCATTCAGTGAGAAAAATAACAGCGTTTGTGCAGTACAGTGAATCCAGCCGGTGCCAGACCTTCCCCAACGCCTGAGCGTGAGGCGACTTTGGTGGGAGAGAAGTCCCAAATGTTGCTGCAAAATGCTGTTGAATCTTTCTGAATGTGGAACTAGCCTGCCCCCTTCTGGTGCATTCTGAACTGAAAGGACTAACACTCTGGTTAAACTGTTTGCAAACAACTACTTTATATCACACTGTAGTCTCCTGGCTAATGTAGCATTACCACAAATAAGTAATAGGATCTGAATGAATATACATGATGAAGGAGGAAAATGGAATAGTCAGAGAATCTGTAAATGATTATCTATATTCCATTGACTTTATTTTGGTTTAAGTAGCATAGTTTCTCTTCCCAAACAAGAGTCCTGGTTGTAGTCTGAACCAAGATGTGGCTTTTATTTAAAAACACTGTTGTTTATTTCTACTTTGGGCGGAGTCCCTAGAGAACATCTGGTCATGTTTTATCTTTGCTCTTAGGTAATTCCAACTCATTTAAATCAGGCAGGAAAAACAAGTGGTGCAAAGAATAATTAGTTGGAGCATGTTTTCCCACAAAAACCAATGTTCTGTCTAAATCATGAATGAGCATTACTTTGAAAGTCCTTACTAAGAACTCACTAAGGAGCCTTAAAACTTTCCATCCCATAGTGGTTGGCATTATATCCAGTTCTCTGTCTCGAAAACTAATATTCTCAAGGTGATTGGGTAGCTACCATAGGGATGAATAAAACACAAATTGAAGAGAGGGATATTTTTTCCCACAGATGAACATTTAACTGAGTCTAGATAAGCAAATATATTTTCAAAATATATTTACTGGAAGACAGAATTTTCATTCTGTCTTCCAGTAGCATAAATGTTCTAATTTTTAGCTTGCCAAATTTGGTTTTGTTTTAAAAAGTTTCAAAAAGCTGGAAGGGAGCATTTAGACAGAGTCCCACTTTCCGCTGGCTAGACTCACCCAGTGAAAGGAAGTGCTCCCTATCTCTATGACTGGTTTAAATTGCTCTTACAGTCAGAAATTGTCTTCTAGTATTATGTTGTAATCGATCTCTTTTTTTTTTTTTGAATGGCAACCCTCCTTGAGATCCTTTTACCATCAACTTCCCATCATGGAATCCTACATGCAAAGTTTATTTTTTTAAAAACTGCTTCTTTGCTATTTGTTTTCAGAAAGAATAGAATAGAATAAAGCTGGAAGGGACCTTGGAGGTCGTCTAGTCCAGTCCCCTGCTCAAGCAGGAGAACCTGTACCATCTCAGACAAGTGACTGTCCAGTCTCTTCTTAAAAACCTCCAGTGATGGAGCGCCCACAATTTCTGAAGGCAAGCTGTTCCACTAGCCAGGAAGTTTCTCCTTAATTCCAGGTTGCTTCTCTCCTTGATTAGTTTCCATCCATTGTTTCTTGTCCTTCCCTCTGGTACTTTGGAGAATAATTTCTTTGTGGCAACCCCTCAAAAACTGGAACACTGCATCGGTCACATTGTGTTCTTGGGTGAGGAGGCAATATTAGACACCAACAACAGTACTGTTTTAGCTCTGCATCTAAAACAGTGTATATTTTAGCTCTGGCGCTCTCTCATCAAGCTCATTTCTTTAGATTGCTGGCAACTCCTTTTCTTTTGCTTCTGTTCCATTTTAGCAAATGGCATCCTTGAATTGCTATAGTCCAATCATGAAAGGCATCTCACCTCCTAGACTCAGGGTGGAACTCAGCCATCCAGTAGAGTGTTCCAAAATGGGGAACTTTGAGTGCTCCACAATTGTATTTTGAAGGGGACAGAGAACCCTAAGATAGTGTTTTTCTGTAATGCCCAGATGATGAATATCTACAGTCAACTGTTACCTTCTCATGCCACACTATGCCTTCACCAGAGTCACTACTGCTAATTGCAGGTGGCCTATGCTTCTTTTTGAGAGGACTGTGCTAAAAGAGGCATCCTAAATGAACTGCCAATATGAAAGAAACCCTTCTTAATGGGAACCATTTTTAAAAACCTATGAAGAGATTGAGACCGAAAGACCACAAGACCATGTCACAGAGATTCCTAGACATATATAGGAGCATAATTATGTTTTAGGAAAAGAAATAGCATTAGCAACTAAAACAGGTCACCAAAATGTAGTAAGGTACTTTCTAAACCCAGCCTTCAGTTGGAGTAAGTTCATGCTCATAACATCCTAACTGAACTTGATAGATGAACAGATTCTATCCAAGAATCTTCGTGATTTTAAAAATATGTATACAATTTACTGAAAAATAAAAATAACAAGGCACAGAAAGAGCTCTGTAATTGCTTCAAATGGGTTTCTAGATTAAACAACTTCCTGGCACATAGTTATGGGGAAATGAGAAATAATTCAACCAGGATCTGCTTCTGCCTGGAAAAAGTGGGAGGTGATCCAGTAATTCCCCATTGCGTTCTTTCTCTTGTCAAACATCCATTTGCTGGTGAATACGATTCTCCTCCTAGGGGATTTGATCTGGTTTCTGTAACAGAGATGCAGTTGGGTGAACTGGTCAGGGTTATCTGGGCCCAGATTTGTCCTGTTTTAGGGAAGAGAGGGCCTGGGAAGGGGAGATCTTGCCATTACACCTGCTGCTGCTTGGGAACTTCAGCATCTGTGCTGATATCAGTCGTGTTCAATTATGGAGCTCATAGCTGCCATGTCATCCATGGGCCTATCACAATAGAAATCTGCCCTCATTCACAATTGAGGCAGCATACCCCTGCTCAGGCTTCAGAACCTCTAGGAGGGTAACACTGGCCATGGTGTTCTCCTTGACCACTGAGGGAGTTGAAAGCCCAGCTTTGTCATCATTCTGTTCATACCTCAAGGGCAGGATCCAAAGAGTAGTACTGGAGCATTACTGCTCTTCCCCACAATGATTAAACTACCGAGTTCCACAGGGCTGGTTCTGATCTTCCTGCTCTTCAATACCTATACAGGTGGTCCTCATTTAATGTCCACTTCCTCAGCAAACAATCAAAGCTACAATAGCATTGAATGGGGAAAACGTATGATGGGTTCTCCTAGTTGTAACCATGACATTTCTCTATAGTCATGTGATCGCAATTCAGGAGCTTGGCAACTGGCTTACAACATGGCAGCTTCCCATGTTCATGTGATTGCCATTTGTGACCTTCACTGATGGTTTCCAACAAAGTCAATGGGGAAGCCAGCAGGAGATTGCAAATGGTGATCATGTGACCATAGGATGCTATGATCATTTGGGATTTCCCTAACAACTGGAACTGCTGGAATTGCCATTGTAAGTCAATGCTGTCACATGATATCATGCTTTATGACTCTGTTCATTAGTGATGGAGATCCTGGTCCCAAATACTGTTGGGAAACAAGGTCTATCTGTATGAACAATTAGGAGCAATTTTTAGGGACTTCTCATCTCCTCTAATTGTGTGTGTTCTGTAGTTGGTTGCTGATTGAATTAGACTGAGGTCTGGAAGTTTAGGAACCATCCAAAATCTAGGAAAGAGTAACTAGTTTGGAAAATGGATTAGACTTTCCCTCCAACACACACACAC